TACTGTTAATGTCTATGTGACTGGCAAAGGCTAAGTCCAAGGCATTGTGCAAAAAACAGGGTTTGATTGAGCAACATAGTTGTTTTTTTTTTTTTTTTTTTGAGACGGAGTCTCGCTCTGTCGCGCCCAGGCTGGAGTGCAGTGGCACAATCTCGGCTCACTGCAAGCTCCGCCTCCTGGGTTCACACCATTCTCCTGCCTCAGCCTCCTGAGTAGCTGGGACTACAGGCGCCCGCCACCATGCCCTGCTAATTTTTTGTATTTTTAGTAGAGATGGGGTTTCACCGTGTTAGCCAGGATGATCTCGATCTCCTGATCCGCCTGCCTCAGCCTTCCAAAGTGCTGGGATTACCGGCGTGAGCCACCATGCCCGGCCTCAGCATAGTATTTTAATACCAGAAGCAAAGCAAATGCATGAACCTAAATACCCTCCTCATCATCTATACACTCTTCTGTGTGGAACTTTTAGTGAGTCAAAGATTTCAATGTAGGCCCCTTTATCTAGAAATCCACTTAAGGGTTATGTGGGTCTTAAGGTAATAGTTCTCATTTTTTCATTTCTTATTCCCTGCACTTTCCAACTCCATAGGCAGTAGCCACACAAAGCCATTTAATTGAAGTAGGCGGGGCATGGTGGCTCATGCCTGTAATCCCAGCACTTTGGGAGGCCAAGGGGGGTGGATCACTGAGGTCAGGAGTCCAAGACCAGCCTGACCAACATGATGAAACCCCATTTTTATTAAAAATACAATATTAACCAGGCGTGGTGGTGCATGCCTGTAATCCCAGCTACCTGGGAGTCTGAGGCTGGAGAATCACTTGAATTCGGGAGGCAGAGGTTGCAGTGAGCTGAGATTGCACCATTGCACTCCAGGCTGGGCAACAAGAGTGAAACTCCATCTCAAAATAAATAAATAAATAAATAAATAAAATACTATAATTAAATTTAACTGAAATCACACTAGCCATATTTTAAGTACTCAATAGCTACATGTGGCTAGTGGCTATAATGGTTAGTGCAAATTTAGAACACCTCCATCATTACAGAAAGTTCTGATGGTCAGTGGTGCCTATACTCTACATACCAAGTGCCAGGTCATCTTAATCTCAGTATTCTTTTGGCAGGTATTGGCACAGAAAGATCAAGTGACTTACCTAAGGATTAATGTTGAGTCTTATAAATAGAATTTAAACTGACATCTCTGGGACCCTAGTCTGAGGATCTTGTTTTAATTGATTTGTTCTTCTCTGAACAGTATCTTAACATGAGAAATGGCATATTCCCCAGTTGCAAATTGCCTGCTATCTTGGTTGGTTTGTGCTAGAAAGGTTATGTCTGAAGATCTTAATTTAAGCTGGAATACATTAATTTCTGAACAGTCAACATTCTACTGCTATCTTCATTGAAGGCAATCAGCAGAATGTGTTTACATATATTTCTTTGTATGTTTACCTTTACATATTTTAATTAAATGATTTACAGCATAGTAGACAGAAATTCTATTTTGTTTAGGTCATTATTTTATTACTCGATGTACCCAAATCGCATATGAGGAAAGACAGCTTAAATGTGTTTAATAGTAGAGACAAGGTAATAAAATGCTCAGTGAGAACTGATCTAACACTGTGGAAAAAAAAATACTGAGGATAATGACAGTAGTAGTAATAATAAAAGCAAATGCTTATATATCTGTTTACTATATGCCAAGCATGTTCTAAGTGTTTTAATACATTAATTCTATACCAACTCACTTAATTCTCATACCTACCCCATGAAACACTAATGTTTCTCTATTAGGAATAAGGAAATTGAGGCATAGAGAGACTAAGCTTGTCCATGGTCACAAAGTTAAGATTGGAACCTCAGCAGTATGGCTCCAAAGGCTGGTGCTCTCAGTCACCAGACTACACAGCAGTCCCCCTTATCAGTAGGAGATACATTCCAAGACCCCCAGTGGATGCCTATGACTGAGGATGGTACTGAACCCTATATACACTACATTTTTTTCCTATACATACACAACTATGCCAAAGTTTAATTTATAAAATAGGCACAGTAAGATATTAAAAGTGATTATAAAATAGAACAATTATAACAATATACTGTAATAAAAATTATGTGAATGTGGTCTCTCAGTATCTTCACCTCTGGGAACCGAAACTGTGGAAAGCAAAACAGCAGATAAGGAGACACTACTGCACTGCAAAGTGACGAAGCACTGAGAAAAACTAGTCCCATCTTCCTAGCTTTAACCAGCAAGTGCCCTTGATACTTCTAAATTTAGGGAACATGCCCACTTCCCAATTAGTATGCATATCTTTTTTTTCTGCATCTCATTTTTCTTTTCATTCATTAGTGTAGTGTTGAAGTTATAAACAGTTTCCCCCCACCACAAACAACTGTTTAACAGTTGATGCCAAAAATTCAGTAGATATTTTACCAAACTAAATCAGAGCTCCAATCCTGGATCTAATGGACATACTAAAATAAGTCTTTCCTGCTTTAGAGTTATGTTCAGTTCAGTTATACTCTGAACTTGTTGGACTTGCTTTTATTTTAATAATTCCTGGCCAGGCACGGTGGCTCACGCCTGTAATCCCAGCACTTTAGGAGGCCGAGACGGGCAATCACCGGAGTTTGGGACCATCCTGGCCAACACGGTGAAACACATCTCTACTAAAAAATATAAAAATTAACCGGGCATGGTGGCACATGCCTGTAATCCCAGCTACTCGGGAGACTGAGGCAGATGAATCGCTGGAACCCGGGAGGCGGAGGTT